CCGTACTCTTAGGCTTGCAATCTAACTGAGCGTGAAAATCTTTGAAACTCGGAATGTCTAAGGATTTAAGGATTTTCATATCTGCTCACGTTTTAATAACGTAAATTACGGCGCCTGGTATGTTTACAAACCTTTGTTTGGTTGTTCTGTTGCTACTTGCCGGCTCGCTTGTTCCGAAATTTCACTTTCAATTATCGGAAAAAAAGCTAAAAAGAAGTCTCGGAAAAGATCGAACATAGAATAATTTGGCAGATGGCGTGACAGCTTTAGCTCAGTTCTATGCTCTATACTCTCATAGAATGAGAATTCAACCAATGACAGCGCGCGTTATATCCGAACTTTATTATAAGGTTGTATATCGTCCATCCTAGTGTCCACTTTGTAGCACGTTAAAGATCTTTTCCCAAATTTAATTTTGGAGGGTCTATCTAGAACGCCGACAGCTTAAAAAAGGTTTTGTTTGTCTTTGAAAATGGCGACCAACTTTTTTCCACTTGGCTACCACTTTGAAGAATTTAGGAGCAAAGTGGCTATCGGAAAAAAAATTAATTTCACGCCCTGAAGGTGCGTGTCTTGTTCAACAACGTTGCATGACTGTTGATATTAGGGGTTTTAAAGCGCACGTGCTGAGCTATCGTTCTGCCAATTAGATCTTTTGTTTTCCCATGTCCACGTTGCCGTCGCCGTCGTGGTTTGCTTAAGTTCCCTAATAATATTGAATAGTCCGCCATAAAGAGAAGTGCACCACCCGGAAACTCGTCTCTAGTCTTCCTCGGTTATTCTTCTCTCAAACAGGTTTAGGCAAAACCCCGAATAGCGTTCGTACCAAAGTTTCCAACATGGCTCAGGTGCAGGTAGGATACGGTTGATCTCTATTTCGAAAGACTTGTTTGACGTTTCTTAGCGGACGATTCTAGCCAAGGTAAAGTCATTTGTGTACCGTATGCATACTTTTCACTTGATTCATGTTATCAGTAGAGAGGGACTAATGTCTTAACCCTCGTAGCTTAGTGCTTCGGTCAACACTTCCTGTTTGTTTAAGAGATGCTCGTATCTTACGAATTGGAGCTCATAATTACTCTTGATATCACTATCGGTAGTTTTTTATGTTAACTGATTCACTTATTTGTTATTACTTTGTGGAATTTGGCTGGATTCGCTCGGCTACGAGGTATGAAATATGCGTTCTAAGAGACAAATGTTTGAAATTCGTGGACATGGGTTGATGTCAGATTTTAGAGTCTGTTTTGAAAGATCTTGACATTATTGATAGGCGCTTGCACAATAAAATAATGAACAGTAGTCTGTTGAAGCGTTTTCGATTTCAGATGAATTTTCGTCTTTTAACTTGACCTTTCATCGTAGTAATCCGATGCGCTCCGCAATCAAACAAATCATCACGAGCGATGTGAAATCAAACTGTTTACATTCCGATGCGTAAACACTGAAGCGGGCGCGTGTTGCAATAAATAAAACAGAAAATCATTCACAATCGTAACCAGTATATTTTCCTTCTGATCCTCATCGAAGGTGATCGAGGCAGGTTCGAAGTTTCGAAGAATTCGTCAGCCCCATACTATTGTAAAACAAATCTGTTTTTTCCAATGGCAATGTAACGTGGTTGTCATTGTTCTCTCTATCCAAGAACTGAATGCATAATGTAGTATGGAACTGTGCGGAAATTTTACCATGCAAAGACCAAATTGTTTTGATTCCGCGACGTAAACATCTTGGGGAGTGTTGATTGCCATGAATTAATTGGTAAGCATTAATTACGGAGTATTTGTTTCGTTACTTGCTCAATGAAACACGTGTTTCGATGCCATGAGTAATAGACATTCTCTTTCCCAACTGATTCATCAACAACTCAAATCCAGCGATTCTACTGCTAAATTCGCGAAGCGACGCGACATGCGTGAGTGTAGCATGATGGCTTTTTTTCTCTATGTAAATTTTCCGTTCTCCACTCGCCGCGTTTTCAAATCTGAAAGTTCTTTGTTTCACATAGTAATGTAATATAAAGGAAACTTGTAGCACTGAATTACAAAGGCACATGAGTTGTGCATTTTTTCCGACCGTGCCGTTAATGAGGATTTAGTTCCTCTCTGGCTTGACCCTTTTTGCCATTTTGCATTTCGATGTTATTTTTATTTTTTATCTGTCTGTATATATGTTTTAATTATTATCTCTGCTTTTTTTATATTATTATTATTATTATCTTATTATTTAGGCAAATGAAGTTATCGTTATAAAGTAAAAAAAATCCTATATACGCGTCTGACTACCCTGCGTCTGAGCGTGTGAAATTCATCTGCGCAGTTGACGTGCAGTCGCGAGCGGTACTGTAGTGCTTCGGTCAGCACCTTCTGCATGTTTGTTGAAGACATCTCTGTATTTGCCAACCAATTGCTTATTTGTAATAGTGGCCTTTCATTTGGGCCTCCAAATTGGAAAGGTGTTTTCAAATAGTACAAAGTCAATTTTCTAGTTTACTCCTGGCTTGTCGAGAATTTAATTTGATACATTCCTTCATTTTGAGCCTAAGGAACAACTGATACATGTCCCTCTACTCCAGAAATACTGAAAACTGCCACTTATAAGCCGCCCCTCTTAAAAGCCCTAGTGACAAAGCTGTCAAGTCTTTCACATGGAGCGTGAGATCTCACGCAAACAATTTTAATTTATGTTCTCAAGCTGAAACTATTGTTTCTTATAGCAAACTGCTGCTTTTGTAAACCCTTTAACTCCCAAGATCTGACTGTCAATTCTCCCCTCCAGCTGCTACACATTTCTTTGTAAATAAGTTACAAGAATTTGTTGATAGATCGAGATAACTTAAACCTGATAAATATGAATATTCTCATGACCTGTTTGCTGGATAATGTTTAGAAATTATAGGGAGAAGTTGCTTGTTTATCACTTTTGGGAGTTTTATTAATTATCCTTTCTAGTATAATTTACTCCTTGTTCCCTTCAAACTTGCTTAAAAGTCTTTCCAGCTGTGGAAATGCTTACTTATACTAATGTTGCCATAGCAACTTCATACTTGTTTCCACAATTTTCGTGGGGGGAGTATGCCACCATTCCCTCTAAGGATGGTGATGCCTGCTGCATCCCATTGAAGGCTAATATGCAGATGATTGCTACCTTCAGTCTTGAAGGAAGCAAAGGGAGGATGTGTAGTGTGAGTGTTGTGGAATTGTGTGGGTTCCCCCCCCCCACTCCATTTGACTTTTAACCCTTAACACCCTAAGACATTGGTATTCATATTCTCCACACTGTTCTCTTTACATTTCCTATGGAACAGACAAGGAGAATTTGTCAAAGAAGTATATTTGATAGTGAAGTAAATGGAAGAGTCAGTTTAGAACATTACAGCTACAAATGCAACAATTATTTAATTAGTGTTTTAATTGATGAAAATCTTTCTTGGAAAAACCATGTTGACTGTGTTATCACCAAAATGAGTAGGAACATACAAATGATTGCTAAGTTGATATGCGTTATTACATCTTCTGTTGTCATAAATATCTGTAAATCCTTATTTTTACCTAATATATCTATATTAGACTTGCTGCTTGGGGCAATACATCTAAAATATATATTAAGTAAACAAATTTGTTGTTCTCCAAAAGTGCGTATTGTGTTTAATTTGCTCTGCTGATTGAAAAGAACATGCTATCCCTTTATTTATAAATGCAAAAATTCTACCTATTACCATCTAATATTATGAAGCTGTATATAAATTAATGCTGAATATTGATAACAACAGAGCTTATTAGTGCACTTTCTAACATCATAAAATTTTTATGGGAACATTAAACAATTGTTACTACCACTGCTCATCAATGTCACGAGTGCTCCAGGTGTCAAGATCTGGAATGAGATGCTAAATATCAGTAGAAAGTGTTGTCAAAGAAATACTTCAAAAAAGAAACAAGAAAGGTTTCTCAACATTCTAGAGACTGAAGATTCTTATTTCAAGCCTGATGAGATAATGTGTTATATAAATTCAAACACTGCAAAATTGAAACAAATTGTACTTGCAGTTTTAACAATATCTTTAGTGCACTTAGATACTCAAGGACTTTTTATCTTTTACAATGAATGTCTTTCATTTTCCATTTTCTTTTCTTGTGTATCTTTTAATGTTTTTTTTAAATGTATTATTGTCATCTTAATTTTACTGTCAAAAAAATCTGCTCAAAAATTTTCAAAATTTTATTTTTTAGAGAAATTAGTTTTAACTACTTAAATGGTTTATTTACAAAAAAAATCTTAAAAAGAAGGTGAGATACAGCTGAAAGGATGTTTTAGTATAAGCCCGTATGAAGAGTGAAAGGTGTCATCATGGGAAATGCCTCAGACAGAGTGTTGACGTTTTCTGCAGGCTTTCATCTAGGATCCCAATTTGCATATGTTGTTTTCATCACATCTTGCACTGCACATTCACTGGGAATCTCTGGCCCATTTTGCAAAACATTGAGTAATGAGAGCCTAAAAGAGTTCACTAATAAGAGGGAGAGAGCTCAAGCCAAAGAAATTGAAGTTAAGTTGTTCATTTTCCAGAGCTTAATTGCTTGGTGACTTTTGGATTATGTTTAACTCATGTTCCTGTTTCATGAAATGACCTTTCCGGCAAATTTCATCGGAGTTCTTTGTCAGTTAAGGCTTAATTGCCACAGGATTCCACATTGTGTCTCATTGTTCATTCATTTGACACTTGCTTTCTAAAAGGAGATGGGAAACTGTGAATTTCTTTGGTGGCCAAAAACTAGAAGTTTGTTATTATGCAAGTTACCTGTACATTAATAAGGTATGTAGATTTGTTGGACTTTTGTGAAAATTGGCTTGTATGTCCATTGGTAATTATCACACAAAAGTACATGAGGTTTCAAAGAAATTCTAAATATTTCTCTCATAATTCATTGGAGTTTGAAAACAACAGAAATATTTTCTATTGTCCAACTTCACAATGTATTTTCTCAGGAAACAATAAGAATCTCAAAATTGCCTGACACACTTTGTTAGCCTATTATCTGCTGAGTGATACTGTACAGTTTGTTTCAAGGTCTAGGGTAACACAGAGGCTGGTAATTCAGTGAAGCAAACACTATCAATGTTGCATTTAAATGCTTACATGCACATACCAAAACAAAAACTGTGAAAAATGTTATTTCCATAATCTGTACTTTATAAGCTTTACTGTGATGTATTTTTTTCTGTTGTAATCTGATCACATCTTTATTGTCAAATAAACAGATATCAAATATTTTGCACGTAAGTTTTCCCTGTACCTTTTCACTTCATCTTTGATTAAACTAGCCATGATCTACTGAAGATCTCTGTTAATAACAGTTTCCTTAATTAGTAGTAGCACAAGTAGGAAGATTTTTCCAGAAGGCAGCCTATTTTGTTGACAGCAATCTTAAGTAAAAATTTGACCAGCCAGGATTTGCATCTGCTATCTGCAAGTTGAAGGAATATTTTGTATATTGAATATGAGAAAATAGATAAAGTGTGAGGTGAGAATCAGGAACTTTTTAAATTTTTGATGATCTCCTTTATTCTTGTGACTCATACATTTGATTCAAGGTTGATACTGTAAGGAGAAATTAGAAGCCAATCACAGCTCTTAGAGGTTAAAGGGTTAAAATGGAAGATGCAGCAAACTTATTTTATTGATCTGTTGCATGATATTTAACTCATTGTTTGAGTGCTGTAATATTCTGGTGTTGCAAAGTTAGAATAAAGTAATAATTTTTGTGTGTGCTCTATAAATGTCGCCTTCCATGTATTAATTATGAGTATTTCTGTACAGAGGACTTGATTTCATGGCTTCTGCCACCCCATCACAACCTTCTACCAAGGAGACCTCTAATTATGCCCAGCTCTGTCGCCTTCTTGTTGAAGTTGGATCACTTATGCTAAGGGAGATCTTTGACCGGGTATGTCCACCAGAAAACCTTCATGCAGTTCTGACTAATCCCACAAACCATGCCAAACTACAAACATTGCGAAAGAAGAGAGTCCTGAGTACCTTCCAGTGGGGGAAACTGTATCCTGTCTCCAAAACATCAGTTTCCTCAGGGAACTTTGACACCTCCTTACTGCTATTTCTCCTGAGGAATATCTTTGGTCTGAATTTCCCTGCCTCTGGCCGGAATAACCTTCCTCCAGGATCAGACACCTCTCCAGAAGCTGACATCACTCGCATCAAGTTTTTCAGGGACAGAGTTTTCAGATATGCTGCTAATGCTTCAGTTGATGATCCAACCTTCAGTTTGTACTGGAACAACATCAAAGACACTTTTCTGCGTATTGGAGGGACCTGCTATGAGGAAGTCATAGATGATCCTACACTCCACTGTATGGATGCTGATCTTGAAGAACACTACCAAGAGCTTCTGAGAGAGTGGTTGAAAGATGATGACCATATCACAGACAAAGTGCATGGAGACAAAATTGTGAAAAAGGCCAGGAAGGGAGGGGACATGGAGGATTCCCTTGACATTTCTGAACAAAATTCATGGGAGAGAGGTGTGTGTTATTCTTTTTTTTCAAACCTGAGTTTTAAATTAACTTAAATTTGTTGAGTCAGTAATGAAGTCATACTGGATTGTTAGATGAAATGAATTTCCAGCAGATTTTTTTTAAAAGTCACAATTATGCATTATTGAAGTTGTGAATCTTTATTACCTTAAGCTAAGTCAACTGTTACATCCATAATTTGCTTTTGTCTTCATCTTTTTTTTTCTTTTGATTTTTATTTCAGTAATTGAAGTAACTTTCACATACAAAAAACTACAACCTTCTTTTTTCAGAGACAGTATTAATGCCAGGGGAAAATACATCACCAGAGAATGGCAATGGCAGCCCACCAGAGCTCAGTGTGAAACTTCCAAAGTTGTGTGATCTTCCAGCAATCTCTTCTTCTTGGGAAACTGTTGAACTTCCTGTTGATATTGTTTTATTAGCAGTGGAGGACTGTGAGTTCTTAAGTTGTTTTGCCTACCTAAAGGAACCCTTTAAGAGTTACCACATCAGCACTGGCCCTGTGTACTTTGGGTGCATGGGTGATGATCAAGGAAAGAAAATGAAAATTGCATTGATGAGGTGCTCCAAAGGTCCTGATGTTCCTCAGGGTTCTTTGTCAGTTTCAAAAGATGCCATCTCAGTACTGAGACCCAAGGCTATCTTTTCTGTTGGTGCCTGCAGTGGTTTGAATAGCAAAAAGGTCAAGTTAGGAGATGTGGTTGTTTCAGCAAAGCTGATAACAGCTGTATACAAAACTCCCCCCAGCAGAGATATTGGTAACCTGATCAAACATGTGGCTGATGGGTGGAAGGCACCTTTACAAAATGCTGATGAATATAATGCCAAAGTGCACTGTGATGGAGTGGTTCTGAGTATCTCAGAGGCAAACAGAGATATGATTAGGAAACATCCTGAAGCAATTGCAGTTGAAATAGAAGGTGGAGGTGAGAATCATAATAATACAAATAATTGATGAGCCAAGCACTTTTGCACATGTAGCAAATGTTTTGAAAAACACTGCTCTGGTAATTGTCTCTGCTGGTCCAAGCATACACTATATAACATGCCAAATTTGCAGGAATTGTGTATCTTGTATTTAAAGTGATTTGATGTTTGGCTGGGTGAGAAGATTATTTCACAGGTGAAGGTGACTGAGACTTCTTCTGGATAACTAGATTGAATTTGCTCCATTAGGGTGTCATGAATTATTTTAAATTTGTCACATGAAAAATGTAGAAAGTATGTTGTTAAATAGTTTGAGAGTTGAGGAATAGTATCACAGTCCCTGTTAACCCTGAAACTCCCATGAGTGACCAAGATAGAATTTCTCCTTACATTTTCAATATGATATTAAGCAGACAAGTAATGGGAAAAGAAAAAAGTGTGAATTAGGGGATTATTGGTTGATCCAAAACTAAATTCTCCTAACTAACATCATAGGAATTTTATGACATACATTAACCCTTTAACTCTTAGAAGTGATTAAAATGCAACTTCTCCCTATAATATCCATATGTTATCCAGCAAACAGGTAGTGAGAATACTGAAACTCATCAGGTAAAAGATAAAATTACCTTGATCAAACATCCAATTTTTTTGTAAGCAATTTACAAGGAAATGTGTAGCAGCTAGAAGGGAGAATTAACAATCAGATCTTGGAGTTAAAGTGTTAAAGAGGATCATTAAAGAGATCTTAGGAGTGAAAGGGTTAACTTTAACTGACAAAACTTTGTCTTTTGAAAAATATTGAAAGTTACTTTACATGAAACAAGATGAAGCCTGAAGAATAGTTTTACAGTCTCAGTGTACAATTTTTTTTGATTACTGGTTGAAAAAAATTAGGTTTCTGTTCCAACTAATGTCTTTCTGCAATGTGCATGTTTACAACAGCAAGAGTGCAGCTAGAGTGTGACTCTTTGTGAGCTTTGATTGAACAATTACATGTATTTTAAAGATGCGAAGAAAATTAAAGCTTAAGATATAGTTAATAGACATTACTGTTTATTTGTTTTGTTTTTTAGGAGTGTATGCAGCAGCCCATGATTTTAAGACAGAATGGGTGGTAGTCAAGGGCATCAAAGACTTTGTAGATGAAACGCACTCTTCAAGTAAGAAATGGAATGAAATTGCCTGTGTGATGGCAGCATCTGTTGTGGCCAACATTTTGAATGATCCAGTCATATTCCAAGATTGGCCTCATTTTAATGCAGGTATTGCTTCCTGTCTCAATCTTCTCTTTTAACAAGGATAGGTCTGACTTAGATCTAAGTTCCCTCAGCATATTTTTGTATGAATTATAAATCAACATGATTTAATCAGTAATAGTTGACAAAGAGGAAATTAAGTTACCCTTATTTTGAGTTTACATACCAGTAAGTGGCTAAAGGTGATGGGAGAAAAAACTGGTGGTTAAATTGAATGATGTAATGAGCCACGTGAGCCATGAGCCACGTGAACTGGCCTGTTTTCTATAGTTAGCTTGGTTTATGTAACACCACCAAAATATGGAAAATTCAGAGGCTAATGACATCTGCCAAAGTGATTTGAAGTGATTTGATATATGTTCCTGGGCCAATAAGAAACAAATCAAATTGTTTTAAACTAAAAAAATTTATTAATCCAGTACTACATGTGTGACTGTATTTTGATGGTGAAACTATTGGAATGGAAAGGGAGGTGATAAATACCAGCACATATGTTTATGGTTCTGTTTTTTGTTGTTGTTGTTGTTTTTTTTTTAACCCTTTATGGAACCTGACATGTTAGTAGATTGAGACAAATAAATCAGATTGTAGGTAAATTTCTTAAGAGCTAATGTCAGCATGCATCAAACAAACAGCGGCAAGTCACCCAAATTTGTTTCCCCTCCTTTTGTCCTTTCAATTTCTCTGTCACGCTTGTCACGCACTGATATAATAAGTTAGAGAAGATAAATAAACTGAAACTCAAATCTGGCTGGAACGTGGTAGAGCATGATTAACGTGATCATCGAAACAGCTAACAAAATCATAAATAAACAAGGTAAGAGTGTTATGTTAGACTTTGTACAAATTGTAGTGATTTACGCCAATTAACGGTGGCGACAAGTAGGCGCACCATGTACATTTCATAGTCGCTGTCAAGTAAATTTTGCCGGACTTTGAGTTCGTCTCAAGATAGAACAACACAAATACACAAGGAAACTTTTACAGTAACTTTATAACCATCCTTTTGTCTTATGAAAGCTTGAAGCTCAGTAGATTGTGTCATATCGGTCATTGTTAAAACTGTCTTTGTTTTGATGCTACTTTTCGACATAGGAAAAGTATATCGGACAAAAATATTCACTAAAAAATAAATATTTCTTTGCCAGCTTCAATAACGACAGGGGATTAAGTTTAGATGATAAAGCAAAGGCTTCTGTTCACAGAAATACCGTAGGTCTAGTACATTCATTACATGAGGTCACATAAGGTCGAAAAATGAGGTCGCTCACCTCATGTGAAAAATTAAGAATTAAACCCAAATGTCCACACTGTGTTTTCATCGGCAGTATCTTTGTCTGTTCGTGGGTACTCGTGTACAACTGCTGGAGTGCACTTTTGTGATTTCTAAGCGTCTTAGTGAGTTTGATCTGTTCAGAATCGAGTAGATATTGACATAGGTATCATTGTTTATCTGCACGTTTATGTGAATTTGTGATGTAAATGTGCTTATGAAATTGCGCTTATCTTTCTTACTAATGCAGATTCGCTACGTGACCTCAGAGACACAACTGAGAAGATAGAGATTGAAATGAAGGAAGTTAAAGAGACGCTTTGTAGCCTGACGACCACAGTGGAGAAAAGCACAGATGAAGGTTGGTTGCTAGAAATAGCTACTCACAGATAAACTGAACTATCAATAGGGATTCCGTTCCGTTAACTTGAGTACACTTTTCAGCTAATGTATTGTTGTAAGAGCACGCCTTGGCTACTAGGTTAAACCTAAATGAAGATACCAGGTAATGTGTGGGATGAATGGGATGGCACGGAATCTCAGGTTACCTCTCAGATTGGATAGCTTTCTGACAGCACTCATACACATTTGGCCGAGAAGGGTTATTACCTTATTTTAGTTTTACTTTTGTTAAGGACATAATGAATCTAACTTCCTAATTCGTTAGATTTTACTTGCATATTCTTGAACAGACTAATGCAATCCTTCCTCCACTCAAATTTTTTGTAGAGTATTCCATTTTACATGGAAAAAATTTCTGAATGAGGGCTGTGTTAGTAAAAAGGGGCAGGAGAAGGCGTATGTGGTTATTTTAATTTTCCCGAGCGAAAAACTGTGAACGAAACTTCACAATGCATTGCAGCCGGACCTCTGGTTTGTTCCAGCGCTTTCCTTTTTCTATGATTAAACGACGTGAAAACGAGGGCGGAAAAGCGTATTTTTGGTTTTTTTTTTAATTAGTTCCTACAATGGTCTTTTTTACCGACAAAAATCTTACTCAGACTATCGACTCTAATGATATCAATATTTATCTCCCGAGTTTCACTATCAGAAACCGCTATAGCCGAGCCATAAGTTTTTTTCGAATATTGTATAAAATTTAAAAACAACAACAACGACAACAGAGGAAGGGAAAAGGATCTATTTAGTTAACTTTTAATGAACAAAGTGACTCTCACTCGGACTAAAAGTTCCAATGTTATTCCACGAAAGGAGAAAGCAAGGATGAAGGTCAGTTGAATTACACAATAAAAGTTATCCTGCTTAACCGCAAATTTCGCCGTAGTCAACATGGCCTGTATGTGAGAGAGGGAGAGATCATCCTATGTTAAAGAGATTCAGTTTTTCAATTTAGACAATCTCTGGAATAATCTCTACGGTGTGCTTTCATTCCCTCCAATTGTTCAAACTTTCACCCGTAATTAGCCTGGAAAACTTTATATTTTGATTAGAGTGGAGAACGAAATAAAACGAAGTACAGTTTTAACGAAAACATTGGCATTAACATTGGCTCGATGTTAGAAATTAACAGAGCAGGTTCCACTGCATTTACAAGCCAAATAGCTTTTGGTCAGTAAATTGACATGAATCATACATTGATACCTTTTTCATCGTCCAAGTAATTTCTTTGGCAGTGGTGTCGTACTCGTTCGCTAATTTAAATTCAGTGCCGAATACCTAGTAGCATTAGATGTAATCCGCATATTTCTGAATAAAATAACTAAACCCTTACTGCGCTCATATTGTGGAGTATTCAATTCTACATGGGAAAATAGTTGAATGAGGATCGTCTTGAGTAAAATAGGTTCCTAAGGAAAAGACTGTAGGAAAAACCTCCCACTTCATCGCAGGCGAGCCCCCGGTTTTCTGCAGCACTTTTGATGAAACCGCGTGACAAAGAAGGCACAAAGGCGTTGTTTGGTTTCCATTTATTTGTTCGTAGTCTCGGTATATCCCGAAAAAGCCTTTCTCAGACTACGGCTCCAATGATATGAATATTTATCTCCCGAGTAATTTATTTTACGACAGAGTTTCACTGTCAGACACCCTTAAAGCCGAACAAACAGAGTAGGTTTACCTGAATTCATAATCTAAATGGCTTTTAATCAGTAAGCATGAATCATACACTAAAAGCTTTTTGCATCGTCCAAGTAATTTCTTTGGCAACGGTATCGTACTCATTCACTTATTTAAATCCAGTGCCGAATACCAGAGAGGCACCACAATTTTTAATGCTGCATTCATTAGATTTCTTACTTATTTTGCTACTGCTAGGTATTTTTGATCCGACTGAGCTTATCAATGGAATTCGCCAGCTTTACAAGACTCGCGAGGGATGGCTCTCACCATTTCCATGGTGTGAAGAGTTTCAGTTTTTTCTTGGAAATATTTTTACACGGCTCAAAGTGGTCAGAAGAAAGAAAACGAGAGGAGAAATCAGTAACGTATTTGTTGACATGTCGTCAATACTAGACCCGTATGAAGAGTGTTCAGCGCCGAGAACAGTGTTGATTGAAGGAGAACCTGGTATGGGAAAAACCACCTATTGTAAAAAGTACGCCTACGACTGGGCCACAAAACAGCAAGAACCTCAGGGCTGCGGCTCAACAGCATTTAAAGTGGTATTGTTACTGAAATGTCGAGATATCCATTCTGACGTTTGGGAAGCTATTGATGATCAGCTTCTGCCCCGAGACATCGATGAAGAAGTCAAACAACAATTCTTTCGTTTTATTCGTGAAAATCAGTCCAGCATTTTATTGATATTGGATGGATTGGATGAGTTACCGTCCAGTAAATTGTCGATGTTTTCCGAATTAATTGAAGGAAGAGTGCTCCCCAAATGCCACATAGTTGCAACAGCAAGACACGAAGCTGGAAAAGAGGTGAGAAAATGTTGTGACGCGCTGCTTCAGATCGAAGGATTTACTGAAGAGCATGTGAAAGGATTTGTCACCAAGTACTTTAAAGAAAGGACGGATTTAGCCACCAAGCTCTCGCAACGGATGTCGCGAGATAAAAACCTGAGAGAAATAGCGGCCAATCCTCTAAACACAGCACTTCTTTGCCTTTTATGCGAAGAGTTTGAGGGCACACTCCCCGAAAGCAGAGCTCAACTGTACTTGGATATGGTTGAATGTGTTTTGAGAAGATATAGAAAAAGGAAGGGACTACTAGAAAAGATCGAAGACTTGACAAACCATTACAAACCGCAATTGAATCACCTTGGAAAGGTAGCGTTGAATGGTTTACTTGACGATAAGTTGGATTTTAATGAAAGTGAATTGAGAAACCATGCAAAAGACCTGACTAAATTTGGATTTCTGTCAGTGCAGCCTGGTGGCAGCAAACTGAGACAAACACTGCATTATGCCTTCTTACATAAAAGTTTTCAAGAGTTCTTTGCAGCATTCTTCATTTGTTCTCAGATTCAAAGCAAGGAGATGAAACCTGAAGAACTAGTTTCCGATCCAAGGTATTTCTTTGAACTTAAACAAATACTTTTGTTTTCATGTGGAATTTTGGCCATGAAATGCGATGAACAGGTTGTGGCTCTTGTAAAGAGTTTAACAAATGAAGTCAACAAAAATGAAGGCCGTGGTGCAAAAATTGTATTGGAGGCCATCAACGAATGCAAAAGAGAAAAAAGTGATTTTCACTCGCATTTATCGAAGTCGTTTGGAACTGGATTGAATCTAACCAATTTGGATTTGTATGAATGTTATATTAGTGATGCGGGTGCTACATGTATTGCTGAGGCAATCAAAGTGAACAAGACGCTAACCAATTTGGATTTGCGAGGTAATGGTATTAGTGCTGCGGGTGCTACATGTATTGCTGAGGCAATCAAAGTGAACAAGACGCTAACCAATTTGGATTTGTCTTACAATGTTATTAGTGATGCGGGTGCTACATGTATTGCTGAGGCAATCAAAGTGAACAAGACGCTAACAACTTTGAAACAAAACAACTTTGAAGTAAAAGGGCACTGCCTTTAAAGTAGGCAGGTTCCCTTGAAAATTGAGGGCCGAAGGCCCGAACCTCTAGGGGGGTCCGGGGGCATGCTCCCCCGGGAAATTTTTTAAAAGATAAGTCTCCCAGAAACGCATTTTCCTGCAATCTGGAAAAGAAATCTTGTTGCAATGATGCATACTTAATCTATCATAATAAAAAAGAATGGTACTCTGGGAGAATTTGTTTATTTCACTGTTGTTTTCGGAGCCTCTTTTTATCCTACAGTTACAAGTTAAAGGCCCATTTTCAATCTTGATGCAACGCCTTTCAACCTTGACGCGACCCAATTTCCTGTAACACGGAATTCCCAGATCACTAAAAACCTTCTAAAATCGTCTTTCTCAAGAGCCACCCTGAACACGCCTGGAGCTCTTCGTACTCTATGAAGAGTCGGCGAAAAGGACAATATTCAAATTTTTTCACTTTTTAGAAGCGCTTGAGGATTTTAAATGAAGACAAAATACTTCTGATAGAAACTGGTATTTTCCAAAGAGAAATATGGAAAAATATCAGACTGCCGGACGTCTAGTTATTTAAAGACCGTGTCCGGTAGTGTCTGGTGAAAATTTTCTTAGAGTCACGCTTGGATCTCTTCGCACTCTGTGTACAAGGCCAGCGAAACGGACAACGTTGGCATTTTTTCAGTTTTTAGAAGCGCTTGAGGATTGTAAATGAAGGTAGAATATTTTCCAATGAAAATTAGTATATTTCAAAGAGAAATATGGAGTTATTTGAGGACCGTGTCCAGCCGTATCAAGCGCTTGGATGGCTTCGTACTCTGTGCAAAATGCAGACTACGGACCGCAGACCGGGTACAAAATGCAGACTGAGAATTTGTACTGTTTTTTCGTCTGATACGTGATAACATGGCATCTTACAACTTACCGAGCGTCACGCAAGTGCTTTTCCGCGATCATCTTTCGCGATTATTTGCACTATTGTGGAATATTCCTTGCCTGCCTCTTGATCACAATCGTTCTTAATTTTTTTCAAGCCTCGTTTAGTATTCTCATTTTCCGCGCGAGTTGGTTGGCGTGATGTCTTTACAGAATTTACCAACTTACTAAAAGTAGATGTGGATGTAAATGGATGCCACTATTGAATATTTAACCTGCGCAATATTCGAGAAATTCATCTTTTTAACCGCGGCGTATGTGTTCATTTTGCTGACAAAAATGCGAACCAAGACCAGAACTTTTCTTTCGACTTGATATATTTTCAACGTTCAGAAGTGTACACATACTGATTTCCCCTTAGTGTCTTATTTGTCACTGGTTTTCATGAGAAACCGGAGAATTTTTATAGGGAAAAGCCAAGCGTTGCCCTCGTGACAGGCCATTTGTTAACTTTTTTGGTGGTTTTATCTCTCGTTGGTTTGGTGACTACGCAAATATTAATATGTGAAAATCAGATTAGATGAAGACTTGAAATTATATTAGGAACGATTGTGGCCGCTTTGTTAAAAATCAAATGCAATGGCCGCTTTGTTTAAAACAAAAGACATCAAGAAACGGGCAAGGAATATTTAATAGATAATTACTGCGGCAGTCAGCGTTATGAGATATATTGCAGCCAACTGAGGGCGTAGTCTGCCTAATGACCTCTGCCCATCCCACCTCCAGCCCACACAAACTTTTTTCCGATCCCCATCACTACGAATGCACAAGTTTTCTTATCACACAACTGCCCAAAAATAAAAGAAAATTTATTCCAAAAGTCTTGAAAGTTCACATAAACCGAATTCATCTGCACCTATATTCAGCAAGTCCAAGAAATCAATTCAAAGCTAAGCCATAACATGAATGAGCTGGCTCCAAGAGCCCTTTGATTTTCATTACTTCAAAGTTTCGAGCGTCTCTCTTTCATTAAAAACCGAGACAAAAAAAATTTCATAGGCATTGTTTTTTATTTCTGTTGCGATCTGCAGAGCCATTCAATGAAATTTGATCACTGAAAGCTTCCTGAACGGGAGGTTTGTGGGGTGGGGGGACTGACAATAGGGGGAGGTGGGGACACAATAGGGACGAGGTAAACAAAGTTGTTGTGGATAACTCTAAAATGGTAATGTGTGCCGGCGGATGCCTACTTCCGCAAAGGCCTAGTACTTAATGACGAGTCAGAAGAGCCCCAGATATGAAGGGATGATTGTCGATTTCCTACCTGTTTCAAGACCTTGGAGAAATTAGCTGGCTGCAGGAAGATCAGGATTGGCACCAATTATAAATTCTTTCATCGAAAGATTGCTGGATAGAACTTGGTCCAACAGACTGTAAACAACTCTTATAAAAATTTCTTACAAAGGAGCTCTCTTAAATATAGAGTTAATAATGTTTATCATGTTTATTCGATTAAACGCCGCGGCGTTTATTAAAATTTTCGTGATTCAAGTGCGATGTTTATTCGAGGGCGCGTTTATTTAAAATTCAATTTACTTTTTGCAAACAATAGTATGGTAACTGACCATTTTAATTATAAAAAAACAAAAACACGTTCTAGTGCTTGTCCTCAATTTCACAATCTGCGTGTTAATACTACTGCAATACTTCATGTGAAATAAAGTGAACATAGTTCACCCAATTTCAATGTCTCTGTCCTCTTCATGATCCGAATCCAAAAGATATAATGACGGATGTGCTCTCTCAAAATCAGAACCGGTACATTCAAAGGGATTTGTGCCTTGCATATTCAGAACTTGCAACTGCGATAGAAGCAATAATCGTGCACTGCCACAAGGCTGTCGTTCCTTGGGGCAGTGAATCATGTCGTCCACGGGAAGGTTCAACATGCAGCTCGAGAGAGTTTTTTTATAACCTCTGTGGGTAGCTCTGCTCAAGAATCAAGAATTCACTCCAAAATGGTACTTTTCGGGGATAATTTCAAATTTCAGCGGCTGTTTCTTCGTGAATTCCCACGGTACCCAGCCAATCATTCCTTTTAAGTGCAAGTGGCCTTGAACGGCTTGTTCCAAGAAACGTCCGGTGCCTTGATATACTTGGTGGACCCTTCTGGCACTATTACTTGATCGATTTTTTTTTCCGACTGCAATACGTAAGCAATACTATCTTCAGTTTTGCAGTCGAAGAAGTTCCAGGCTAATAGTAATCAACCACCAACCTGTATTTCATTGCCCCAGGGCCTGTTTACATGAATGTGGGGGACCCCAGGTAGGTGAGGTGACCCGCCTAACCGTGGTCTAAAAATAGCCAGCGTTTACATACAATCTTACAACCCCGGGATGCCAGGATGAAGTTTCTCGAGGTTGTTATCACACTTGCAATTAAGGAGTTTAAGATGTCACTAGGACGTGTCGTAAAAACGTTGCAGAAAAAAAACGTAATTAATTTTCCTCTAAGATTTTGGCCAATAGCTCGATACGTTAACTGTTTCTGACAGTACAACGTCTTCACTTTGGCATAACGTGTGAATGTAGTGTTTAGTCAAAAGTAAAAACGTGACTAAATCGCTGTCGAGGTTTTATTGCTAAGTGGATGTAAAAATTGATGTTTTAACGTTTTAGCTCTGCATGGGAAGACCAAGAAATGTACAAAGTCTTAACACACTCGTGTTTCGCTGTTGTTTTCCTTATTTAATCCTTTTGTAACATGAACGGCGCCCCGCGTGGGCGGTTTAACCGACCTTGAGACGTTTACATGGCAATGTTGCCCCCTTGCTGACAGGGTTACCCTACCCAGTAGACTGGGCAACCCGCCTAGACGGGTCGCCCCACCCATCATGTAAACGTGATCAAGATGAAATAATAGATTATATGGACAGGCGGGTTACCCAGCTAGGCGGGTTACTTCACCTATCTGGGGCTCCCCATCTCCTTGAAAACAGGCCCTCAGTAGTCATCAGTCTGCTTTTTTGAGTCTGTTATTCGAATAAGAGTCGCGTAATGATTTGGCATTTATTCGGGGGCGCGGGGCGGCGTTTATCAATATTTTTGCTTTAAAATACGGCAGTTACTCGAGGGTGTTTCATCGAATATAACGTAAACCGACATCTCCGAACTCATATAATGCTCATAAAAAATTGATCGATTCTAAAATAGAACAGGACAGTTGTAAATACATTTTGACCCTCTCGATGAGCAGTTTGGTGTACAGTTAAACATGATTTATTTCTGTGTGATTTGTTGAGGACCGACATCTTTCAGTGTACCAATCTCAATCAGCGAAATAGACCAGTTTGTGCGCACGTAAACACATGAAGAAGCCTAGAACTTAAGAGAAGTCAGTAATTTTCAAGAATCCGGCGACACAAGCAAAAATTCAACTTTTTTTATTTGCTCCAAAAGACTCTTTTGGTGAATTGTTTTCAAAAATAATATTCAAAAGTTCCAGCGAGTTTTTATTTTGGCAAAAAATACGAAAGTTCGAAATCGGCCAAAACGTACCTAATTTGCATAATTTATATCGGGCTTTCAGTGCATTTTCACAACGCTCGTACTAGACAACGAAAAATTATCATGGATTCATTTTTCTCATCCCTTGGAATAGCTCTCCAACTATATTTCCTCTCCAAATAAACTTTCTTTCGTTTGTAACCACCCGCGTAAAGTACATTATATTTTGTATTCCGTTTGTACGCTGAATTTTGCCATATTTCAGACGAGCATAACATCGGGGGTATACGAATGTACATAAAATAAAAGAGCTCTTTTCAACGAGCAATTCTTCATGTTTATCATGTAAAAACATTATTTTTGGCCCGTGAAAAGCGAGCGCGCCAGACCAAAATATACAGCGTGCATTTTCACGGAGTTCGGTTACTTTCTTTGCTGTATTCCTATTGCAAATCACACGCTATTGGGACAAAACTTGAAGTGTTTGGTCTCTACTTCTGTTTTGATTCATTTAAATCTATCAGTTTTAACTTAAAAATTACCCTACCTTTATTGTTAAGGGAACAAACCACCGTTTTAGGTAAAGTTTTTGAGTTTATTTTTCTCGAGTGCTAAATAAACAAATCGCTGTTTATAAAGATACCAACTCTGTCGACGTGTTTTTGGCTGAAATTGGCCCGTCGCTTATATTGTTCTTTAATTTATAATCTATCCCACTGGCATAATTTTAGAGCAAATGACAGGTAACTATAAATGTTGTTGTAAATACGTGAGTGTGAGCTAAATAAAATCTTTGCACACATAAAATGTTCGAAACATGTAGCTGTCGCAAGAAAATACTTGCTTGTGCCTGAACCTCGTGTATACATTCGGTGTTTTGCTCGGTTGCTTTTATAGATTTCTACTAATGTCACTGTAATGAAAATAGCATGTTTGTGTAGCCCAGCTGTTTAGATACATTTTCAAATTAACTCTAGGTTGGAATTCTATTTGAAAAGATTGTCGAAGAAATCTGAGAAATAATGCAACATATTCCATCTCAGACACTGATTCATGGATTACCGTAGTAGACCACTTTCTAACCCTGCCGAGAAATTATTCTCATGCAACATATAGAGAAATGCACTTATGTATATGTAGTCCATGTTTTTGAAGTAGATTATATCTGCAGATCTCAGATTCCCCAGCTAAAGGTATCCTGAATCAATTTCCACAACGCAAATACAGTTGGTTGGTGAGGTAACCCGCCTAGGTGGGGTAAGTCACCTGTCCATATAATTTCTTACTTTATTTTGATCACGTTTACAAGATAGGTGGGGTGACCCGCTTAGGTATGAGGTTCTTTTACGGACAAAATATCGAACATGGATACATTAATGTAAAATTAAATAAATCAATTTCATCCGGAATACATCGATTTTGGATGTCATACATCGATGTTGTGCAGCATACATCGCTTTCCTGACTCATTCATGCGTGACCTTATATAACTAAAAGATGTTCAATAAAACTAAAAGATGAGGAAGCGGAAATAGAAATGACCGGAAGTCAGATTAAACAAGAAGCCCCGGAAACTAACACTTTCAAAATGGCTGAAATAGAGGCAGATGATCAGTGAAGTTTGAGAAGCACTATGCAAGGTGCACGGATTTGGCTGCCCAACATGGTTGATTTCTACTTCGAGATACTTACTTTACGTTGTTAAGCAGACGATTCTCGCCAAGGTAGAGTCATTGATTTACCATATACTTTTCACCTCGATTCCTGAAACTACTAGCGAGGAAATAGTGTCTTTAATTAGTGCCAAATTGTTAAACTACGTAGCTTAGTGCTTCGGTCAGCACTTCCCGTTTGTTGGAAAACAGGTTCATATTTTCGAATCCATTGGGAATTGTAATAGTTGATATGTCTACATTCACCAGTTTTTGAGGTTGAATCCGTTATTTGTTTCCATATTGCTTAATTTGGTTGGATTCGCTTGGCTGGATTTAAACATGTTAGAGTTGGTCTCTTGGAACTAAAGACGCGTACGAAAAACATGCTTATCATCGGACAAATTTTCGGAAAATTTTCAGGCTTTGACGGGCAACGAACAACTGACTTTGGATGCCAGCATCGATAGAAAATTTATATAACTCAGAACGTAGTTTGAATTCGATCCACAAATAATGCAGTTACAGTTTTACAATTCCTGCGAGGTTAAACTGAATATGCACCGTGTGAAAGAAATGTTATTGATCTTCCCTTGCGCGTAAGTTTAATGTGGATTCTCTCTATATACGAAAGCTAATCAAGCTGCCTCACAACAGATGATGTTTGTTACTGCTAACTTCAACTTGAAAACTTTGAACATTGAGCGTTTCAGCATGAAAGTTGTGTAGTCACAAACAATATTTATCAAGGAGATAACTTTCATGGAACCAGAAACAAAACATTGATGTTTCTTTATTTAAACTATGAAAACGGCAAATCTTTGCTGTCAGTAAATACACCTACAGTCTTTGAAATGGAGTATGTGTGGACCAAGGAAGAAACCTTTGTATCACTTTTCCTCTTATTGCACCATGTTACATTGCTTGCCCAAAAAAGTAATTGTTTTGAGTTTATTTTCAAAGGGGATATACCATCAAATTAGTAATTGTATTAAGAGCATGTGAATGTGGCTTGTGAAAAATTTGCAAAAATTTTGCAATTTCCAATTTTTGGCAGCAGTCGCATCTAACCAGTATCCTGTGACCAAAACTTCATTGATTGGCACATACATCAATCACAAACCCATCTCCTTCTATTAAAAGATAAAGAAAAATTATTGCACAAATTACTGGGCAAGAATATATTGTCGTCAAATGATTATCTTCACAGCTTTCAAGTTTTAATGGAATCTTGCATTTCTTTCAGAGCAAAACAACATAGCAATTTTTTTACATTGTTGGTAGTCACTATCAACAGGCTTCTATGCAGCTAGTATCAGATTTTAGACATAGAAGGCAAAGACTTTGCTCAAATAGAGCTTGCTTTTGAAACTGTCCTTGGTTGAGGTCTCTGCGTCTGGCAGAGTAATGGTTTTGAGATTGGGACCATGTATTGTATCCTGCCATCACATGCCCCAAATTACACTAGCAGACCAGTGTATTTTCCAGCTTAAATTTTATCTAGACATGCTTGTCTTACATACAATGACAGCTAAATGGTTAAAAAAAAAAGCAACATGGCTTTTTTAGAAGATTAGGAGAATTTTGGTGATCTGCAAAAATTTGGCAAGTTTTTAAAATTGGGGGCTGTACTTATTTTATGCAACTTGTTGACAGATTTTTTACTTAAACAAACAAAAAAGCTCTAGTGTGACCTAGGCCTATATTTAATAAGAAAGGAGTGTGATCTTAGGAGAGCACCATACTATTTTTTGCCAGTGATGAACATTGCCATTTCCTAACAACAGTGGGTGACATATTGTTGCCTATGGTCAGTGTATTGGACTCTGGGTCCAGAGGTCTGGGTTCAAGACCTGCCTGAGTCAATGAGTTTTGTTCTTGGGCAAGACACTTTACTCTCCCCATGCCTCTCTCCACCCAGGAGTATAAATGTGTACTGGTGAATTGTTAGGGAAGCCTGATGAAATGCTGGTTGGGGGGGACCTTGTGATGGACTGGCATCCCATCCAGGGGGGAGTTGTTATTATTGTATTAGCTTTATGCTAAGGAAACCAAGACAAGCTCCTTCTACAGGGGGCCAATAGGCTTGAGTACAGACTCTTTTTTTGCTACCAAGAACAGTAACTGATCTCACAGGGTGCTTCAAAATTTTTCTGAAATTTTGAGAGATGTTAGAGGCAAATCTTGTGGGGAAAAACATGGAAACTTCTTTTCATCACGGTCATGGTAATTTATTTCTCTTCACAGAACAGTAAATACAAAACCAAAATTGCTTGGAATTAAGTATTGCAAATTGCATGGTAAATATGTGGTTGACATGTATAAATGGCTGAGAGCCAGAAAGAATCTCTTTTGTTGTTTTGACAAATGAAAGCTGTTTTATAAGTTTGATCACTCAAGAGACTTTTTTGGATTAGAAATAATCTTAAATGGATAAAAAGATTCTAATTGAAATGAACAGTATCATGTTTTTTGTGTGGAAAATCTAAACAGATGTAATAAGTCTTAAGAAGAACAGTGTATTTTCTTGAGATTGGTACATTACTGTGAGGGTTTTATGCACAGAATTGTGTGTGTTCCCCCTGAGTGCCCCATCTGCCTTTTTAACCCTTAACACCCTAAGACATTGGTATTCATATTCTCCACACTGTTCTCTTTACATTCCCTATGATACTGACTAGGAGAATTTGTTTGACAATCAGGAACTTCTTAAATTGGTGATCATTTCCTTTATTCTTGTGACCTCTACATGTGATTCATGAGTGATACTGTGAGGAGAAATTAGAAGCCAATCACTCTTAGGGGTTGAAGGGTTAAAAAGGAAGACACATCACACTTGTTGTATAAATTTTTCAGGTGACAATAAATTCAATGTTAAGTATGTGGAATGACATTTTGGCTCTGGGAAGTTCAAATAATGACTTTTGTGTGTATATTTTGTTTCAGAACACATGTCCTCATGACCTTTGCCACTCCATCGAATCCTTCTACCAAAGGAACCTCCAACTATGCTCAGCTGTGTCGCCTTCTTGTTGAAGTTGGATCACATGTGTTTAAGGAGATCTTTGACAGGGTATGTCCACCAGAAAAACTTCACACAGTTCTGACAAATCCCACAAACTGTGCCAAATTACAAACACTTCGAAAGAAGAGAGTCCTGTGTACCTCCCAGTGGCGCAAATTGTATCCTGCTGTCAAATGGTCAATTTCCTCAGAGAACTTTGACAGCTCCCTGCTGCTATTACTTCTGAGGAATATCTTTGGTCTAACTCTCCCTGCCTCTAGCTGGCCAAGATGACCTTCCTTTGGTAACAGACACCACTCCAGCAGCTGACATCTCTCGCATCAAGATCCTCAGAGACAGAGTTTACAGTCATGTTACCAGTGGTTCAGTTGATGATCCAACTTTCAGTTCCTACTGGAATGACATCAAAGACACCTTTCAGCGTATTGGAGGGGCCCGCTATCAGGATGTTATCAATGATCTTAAAACTGATTGCATGGATGCTGATATTGAGAAAGACTACCAGGAGCTTTACAGAGAGTGGTTGAAGGATGAAGACTGCGTCACAGATAAATCATATGAAGATGAAATGGTAAAAAAGGCCAGGAAGGAAGATGACCTGGAGGGTTCCATTGAGACATATGAACAAAATTTAGGAAAGGAAGGTTTGTGTGATTTACTTTTGTTAATTTTAAGTTTTAACTAAATTGTCTCTTTTGTGTGATTAATGTTAGATATAGTGGGTCATGAAATGAAAGAAATTACCTCAAAAATTTCTGTGTGGAAATTGGTATACTGTATATGTAAGTAAATTTTTGTTTTTTTTTTCTTGATGTTATGAATGAAGTCTACAAAAAAATTCATACATGTCGTCAAAATATAATTCTGTGCTGAAGGTGATAGATTTAAAGCCTGATTATTTGAGTAAAAGATGTAACTCAGTGAATGACACAACCATGCAAACTCAGAGAAAAAAGGGTAGCACTCAGAGGTGTTTTTTTTTCTTCAAGTATGTCTGACAGTGTGTAATATTGTACTGTTTAATCAGTTAGTGTGGACTTGAAATGTTTTATGCAAGGTCAAGGATGCATTGACCTAATTGTTATTCATAACTGGTTTTCTTTTCTTTTTCTTCATTGTCTTTTGATTTTTGTTTCGGATCTGCTAATAACTTCTAATAAATGAATGGAAACAAAAAAAAAAGAAATACTACATTCTTCTTTTTTAGAGACAGCAATGATGCCAAGGGAAAGTACAGAATGCAAGCCCACCAGAGCTCAATGTTACACTTCCATTGATGAGTGATCTTCCTGAAACCTCTTTTACTTGGAACGATGTTGAACTTCCTGTTGATATTCTTTTATTAACAGCGGAGGACTGTGAGTTCTTAAGTTGCTTTGCCTACCTGAGGGAACCCTTTAAGAGTTACCACATCAGTACTGGCCCTGTGTACTTTGGATGCATGGGTGATGATCAAGGAAAGAAAATGAAAATTGCATTGATGAGGTGCTGCAAAGGTCCTGGTGTTCCTGGGGGTTCTTTGTCTGTTTCAAAAGATGCCATCTTGCTACTGAGACCCAAGGCTATTTTTTCTGTTGGTGCCTGCAGTGGTTTGAACAGCAAAAAGGTCAAGTTAGGAGATGTGGTTGTTTCAGCAAAGCTGATAACAGCTGCACACAAAACTCCCCCTAGTAGAGATATTGGTAAGCTGATCAAACATGTGGCTGATGGGTGGAAGGCACCTTTACAAAATGCTGATGAATATAATGCCAAAGTGCACTGTGATGGAGTGGTTCTGAGTATCTTGGAGGCAAACAGAGATATGATTAGGAAACATCCTGAAGCAATTGCAGTTGAAATGGAAGGTGGAGGTGAGAATCATAATAATACAAATAATTGATGAGCCAAGGACTTTAGAATTTGAAGCGAGAGTTTTGAAAAAGACTGCCCTGGTATTGTCTCTGCTGGTCCAAGAAATAGCATATACCATAATTATAGCATGCGAAATTTGTGGAAATTATATCTTGCATAATAATAGTAATTTTGTGTTTGACTGGGGTTGAAGATTGTTTAGCAGGTGGAGGTGACTGAGACTTCTTCTGTCTTCTAAATTGAATGTGCTCCATCAGGATGTCATGAATTGTCTTAAATTTGTCATCTGAAAAATGTAGAAAGTATTTTGTTGAATAGTTTGAGAGTTGAGGAATAACTATCAGTCCCTGTTAACCCTGAAACTCTCATGAGTGACCAAGACAGAATTTCTCCTTACAGTATCAATATGATATCAAGTAGATACAACTATATTACTGTAAGTAATGGGAAAAGAAAAAGAAAATGTCAATTAGGAAATTATTGGGTGATCCAAAACCAAATTCTCCCAACTACGCCACCTGTAACATCATAGGAATTGTACGACAGACACTAAAGAGAATTACCAAAGAGATCTTAGGAGTGAAATGGTTGACTCTAGCTGACAAAAGTTTGTCTTTTGAGAAATGTTGAAAGTTACTTATGAAACAAGGTGTACAGTTTTTTTTAAAGTACTGGTTGAAAAAAATTAGATTTTGTTACTAACTAATGTCTTTCTGGGATGTGCATTTTTACAAACAGCTAGAGTGTGAATCTTTTTAAGCTTTCATCGCACAATTATTTTAAGGATTCTACCAAAATTAGCAATATAGTTAACAGACATGAGTGTTTTTTTTTGTTTAAGGAGTGTATGCTGCAGCCCATGATTTTAAGACAGAATGGGTGGTAGTCAAGGGCATCAAAGACTTTGTAGATGAAATGCAGTCTTCAAGTAAGAAATGGAAACAAATTGCCTGTGTGATGGCAGCATCCGTTGTGGCCAACATTTTGAATGATCCAGTCATATTCCAAGATTGGCCTCACTTTAATGCAGGTATTGCTTCCTGTCTCAATCTTGTCCTTTTACAAGGATAGGTCTGACTTAGATCTAAGTTCCCATAGCATATTCTTGTATGGATTACAAATCAAGATCATTTATTCAGTAACAGTTCACAAATAGAAAATTAAGTTACCCTTATTTTAAGTTTATGTATTAGTAAGTTAAACAAGGCCTCTTAAGGTGGTGGCAGAAAAAACTTGTAGTTAAATCAAGTGATGCTGATGAATGACAATTCACTTCATGAGCCAGGTGAATATGCCTGTTTTCTATAGTTAGCTTGGTTTATGTAACACAACCAGAAAATGGAAAATTTGGAGGCCAATGACATCTGCCATTTAGTGATTTGAAGTGATTTGATATATGTTCCTGGGCAAATTAAGCAACACATCAAATTGTTTTAAACCAAGAACAGAGAATTATCCAGTACTGCATGTGCGACTGTATTTTGATGTTGATACTTAATTGAATGCACAGGGAAGTGATAACTGCCAGCACATATACATGTATTTACAGTTTTTTTTTCTGTTGTTGTTGTTGTTGTTGTTTTTACCCATTTTTGGAACCTGACATAATAGTAGTAGAGACGAATGAATCAGATTGTAAGTAAATTTCTTAAGTAAATTGGTTTAAAGAGACAACACTTCTTTTTGTTTATTATTTAATTTAGGTGCCAATGAATTGCCTTCTCAAGGTGAGTCCACATGTTTTGATGAGTGTAATACTTAATAGTGAAATAAGAAATGTAATAATAGTGAACATGTGATTGGTAACGATAAACAGTGAACTTATTTACGACTATTTGAACTACTGTTATTAAATGTTGACAAATAAAGACGATTTTGAAGGGTGGATCCAGGACTTTTATATAGAAGGGGGTCACAATTTTTGTTCAGAAAACACAGAAATTTTGTGTTTTTTCTGAAACCACAGTAGGCCAAGACCTATATCTGGAACGGTAATTGTTAGTTGCTCCATGTTGGATGGCGATATGTGATCCTGTTGTTTCAAGAATTTGGGTGTCAGACAAGTGGATCTGACGCCACCACCGATTTTTAACCATTATAGGGTCCGTGAGTTGGGGCTCTGGTATCCAATAATGGAATTGTTTCTCTGTCAGACACTAGACTTTGAAATTTACATTCAAGACTAAGCTTCTAAGGGTTAGAACTATGTGTGGTATTAATGTGCCTTTAGTTTGCTATACTTTTTTCATCAATAAGAGCAATACCAATATAGCCTAAAATCTTCGCCTTAAGCGCTTGTGTGTTGATTGACCTGCCCTCAAAACAGTTAAACCCCGTGGAGCAAGAGTGATAGTACTTAAACTGCTATCCTCGTGTTCATATTATTTATTAAGTATGTTCCTTTTTTATATTTCAGCCATAAGTACCTACACTTCAGCTTTAAAGTCTTCAATTATGTACCATACGGAGTTCCAACCCAAACTGCTTGCCTCTCGCACGATTTCCAACGCGAAAACGGACGAAATATTCACTAATCTTCTCATACAACATGGAAGAAAAGCCCTGATTAGGAATGACGAGACATATTATTCAAGGAGTAAAGAGCTTGAGTACTACGGGAAAATTAGTGGTACTCCAGTCAAGCACTGCAGTGAAATACTTCTTGGCATGATTGATGATCAGGAAAGTGCTAATTCTATTCTTGTCGTTGGAAAAGCAGGGATTGGGAAATCCCTGTTTTGCCAAAAGGTGATTCGCGATTGGGCTAACAACAAATTACTTCGAGCACTAGAAAGCACTGAAATCCCCAATTTAAAATTTGTGTATTTGCTTACTTTCCGTCAGTTGAATTTGCTTAAGAATAAGCATTTGACTTTAAGAGAAATCTTAAATTTTTCCTCGGTACTGAATGACAAATGTGACATTAACGAATCAACATTTGAGTACATTGTAAAGCATTCCAAGGAAGTAATGATAATTCTCGACGGCTATGATGAGTATTCTCAGAAAACCAGTATCGATGGAAACTCAGAAGGACGGCATCCCAATGACGTTAATCGTAAAATGCCGGTGGCCGCACTGTGTTCTAAACTCATCAATGGAAAAATCCTGCAAGGGGCTATCGTCATGATTACCTCGCGACCTGATGAATCGGACAAGATGGGAGGAATCCGTTATAAACGGTATGTGGAAATTGCTGGTTTTTCGGCAGAACAAGTCAAAGAGTACATAAAGAAATACTTCAAGAAAAACGAAAATATGAAGAACGCTGTACTTAAACATGTCATGAACAATGAGAATCTTGTCAGTTTTGCTCATATTCCTATGCTCTGTTATCTGTTGTGCTTCGAGATGGAGTATACCCTAACCGAATCAGAAAATTCTGATGACCTTCCTGTCTCAATAACCGACATTTATACCAAACTTGTTGATATTTTTGAACTCAAGCACTGCGCCGAGTCAGAATACAGACAAAAAGAAATTCCTGAGAAGTTCAAGCCCCCTCCTGTCATCAAGAACACTTTGGAGAAGTTATCAAAATTAGCGGCTAAACTGCTGGTTGAAAGAAAGCCAACTTTTGATGAAAGCGAGATGGAGCGTGATTTTGAACTGGAAGAAGTCAACAAACTGAAAGGTGGCGGTCTTCTTTACTGTGGTCAGCCTTTCAGAACCGAATTGATTACAACCACGAAGCACTTTAGCTTCACACATCTGACCGTCCAAGAATTCTTGGCCGCTCGTTGGTTTGTAAGGGAAATCGTGTTCCCGATGCGAAATGCTCTGAAATGGTTTACCAATTCATGGCTGGCCTTTTCTCACGTGACGCAAACGAGGAAATGATGGAAAAATTGATAGATTCACCCTTTATGCCTCCTTATCTTAGAATGAGGTGTCTTAATGAGTATCGAAACAAAGAATTCGCTAAACAATTCTTGAGGGAGAATCCCCGAGCGTTTTGTAATTCCCACAGTGTCATGGCTTTAGATTGTTGCTCAGATGAATACTGCATTGCGGTATCATTTGTATTGGACATTATCAGTGAACTAAATGGAGAGGAAGCTGGAGAGGTACAACACAAGTATACCGATAAGTTTGTCACAGTTAAGAGGTTAGGACTTTTCGGACCACATCTAACACTGTCTGGAATACAACGAGTCTTTAATTCACTGAAGAATGAACACTGTCTTGTGTCTCAACTTAAATTATTCCACATTAACTGGAGTGATGAACATGTTGATTTTATTAATCGATTATTGGTAAGGAAGTTAACCACACTAAGTCTGAATGATATTAAGATCACTGATACCGGTGTTGCCAGGCTATGTGAAGCTTTACAGCATCCAAGCTGTGAGCTAACCACACTAAATCTGAAGTCTAGTGGGATCAATGATACAGGTGTTGCTAGTATAGGTGAAGCTTTACAGCATCCAAGCTGTAAGCTAACCACACTAAACCTGGGGTTTAGTGAGATCACTGACACCGGTGTTGTCAGTCTATGTGGAACTTTACAGTATCCAAGCTGTAAGCTAACCACACTATATCTTGAGGGTAATAACATCACTGATACCGGTATTGCCAGTCTCTCTGAAGCTTTACAGCATCCAAACTGTAAGCTAACTACTCTATGTATTTCGTTTGGAGGGATCAGTGATACCTGTGTTCCCAGTTTATGTGAAGCTTTACAGCATTCAAGCTGCAAGCTAACCGCATTAAGTATGCTCTGTAATTTGATCACTGATACCAGTGTTGCCTGTCTATGTAAAGCTTTACAGCATCTAAACTGTACGCTAACCACTCTACGTATGCAACATTGTAAGATCACTAATATCGGTGTTGCCAGTCTATGTGAAGCTTTGCAGCATCCGAGCGGTAAGCTAACCACACTAGATCTGGAGGGTACTGACATCACTGATATCGGTGTTGCCAGTCTATGTGAAGCTTTTCAGCATCCGAGCTGTAAGCTAACCACACTAGAACTTCCTCTGTCAGTTTATCATGATGAGATGGCAGCTAGTCTTGAAGCTATAATTCGGAGACACCGACCATCTTTAAAGATGTCTTTTCATTAGTTTCATTAACTTTAATAGTTTCATTAATTTTTAGTAGATTTTTATATTTAAACGAAATCAGTAGTTCCAAGTGAAATCTTAATTTGGGTCAAAGATACCAGGTAGGCAAAGTACTTTTAATCATTGGAGTGACATGCTACGCTCAATGTAAATAAAACCGCAAAGATTTTGTAATAAAGGTTTTTTTTACTGGCGACATCGTTTACTGTACTTGGTTTGTGGGTGTAGACTACTCAAGAGTTGTAACAAGTAAGACTAGGGGTCGGGGAAGGGTTGGGAGGGTAATCTTCTGTGAGGTTACCATGCGTCAAAGGAATCTATCTTACAGGAACGTTTAGTTGAAGCTTCGCGAGGTAAGGACAAAGAGGAAAACATCTACCCGTTCACCTGATTATGATTTCATTTTTATGAAATTACGCCCCCCTGAGTACTGCTAAGAAAAGACAGTTTTCTTTTCTTAGTTTCAGTAAACAACAAATTTTCGTTTTAACTGTCCGCCATTACACTGTATCAATCATTATAAAATGAGTCATCCTCGTTTAAGTTGTCCAGCTTTGTTAGGTTAAGTTCCAGACGAATTACTTGTAGAGACCTCAATTGGGGTTACCGTTTAACGCAGGTTGAGCAAGAAACTCACAATTTATCGGAAGACGTGACTTATCACTCATTTTTGTCTACTGTTGCCACTCATTTTTTCGCAACAACAGCGAAGAATGTTTCGTTCCCTTCTTGCAATCAAGTCATACAAGTACACAAGGGCCGGACCTCTTTTTCACGTCGTCTTTCTCCATGGTTTTTCGGTCTTACGATTACGCACGCAGGGCCGGACGGGTCATATAATAAATTTTACCGCAACTTGCAGGAATGCCGTTGTCGATAAGAGCACAGTCACGAACTCTAGTCACGCACTCAGGAAGAATCGTTTTATTCAACGTCAATATTGTGGTAACAAATATGTCGAAAGTGGTTTGGCGTGGTCAGTCCTCTAATCGACAACGATATTTGTTAGATCTTGTTATCACTTTGCTCAAACTTTGTTGCGAACTCACGAGGCGCAGCTAAGTAAGTCCACAAGATTTTGACCATTGTGATGATGAATATCGTTGTAGATAAGAGTACAGACCAAGAGTGTCGATTTGTTAAATTGAATATGGCTGATGAATTTGTTGCGACTCTTGTGGGAATAACTGTTAAATTATATTTCTTGAAATTTCAGGGTCATTGGCTTTTAGTTAAATCCGGTACCATGTATTCTGTGCAGTATATCCACGAGTTCATCATAGGGTCACTTTGATCTATCTTTTGGTGATCTGTATTTACACGTAGGAGACGGAGTCACAAGTAAAACTATTCTTGATTCAAATTATGATTTTCTGTTTTTCACAATAACCAAATTGAACCGCGCACTCTGCGGGTATTGGGCCTGGTTACTCAGCTGTTTTTAAAAATGGCGGCGCGTAAAGTCGTATCTTAAAAGTCGTATCATAGAAGTCGTATCATAAAGCCAATGAACGGAGGGTTACTCTTGGGAACGCTAATAAATATAAATTGAAGTTTCTAGTAAAAATTTTAAAATGTACATTTTGATATGGCACGTGGTATGTGTTTGGAGCCGGCTTCCTTTTTTTTCCACAAAACTGGTCAACAGCAGTAGTCATTATCTGGTCATGCGCAAACTCCTTTCACGTGCGCCTGGTAGAAATTACTTTGAAAGATTTCCTGAGATATACGGACTATGATGTTTTAGCTCGAAAAATGGGTTTAGCGACACTGTTGATCCAGCGATCTGGACTTCGTCTTCTTTCTCGTAATGTAAGATTTGCAACCTTGGTGTTTAGACCATAATTTAAGTTTTTGTTAATTTTTACTAAACGAGAATCCTCAGCCACGAAGAAGTGAAAAGCTTACATAATCGTACATCTTTCTCAAACAGTTAGGACTATCGTATCGGTTGTGATTTTTTAAAATCAGAAAGTTATAGAAGTTATAGAACGAGAGAATCAAAAATCAAAACAGTAATATGATTTTAAACTGATTATTTTCGTATTCTGATTAATATGGGAAATAATGAATCCAGATTGAGTTCAATATGATATTAGGGAGTACAAGTTGCTCGTATTTGTTTCCTTTGGTTAGTAATTAATCCTGAATCTTACGAACGAATGCTTTTTTTCGTAGGTGAAGGCTCGGTTTTTTGTCTCTGAAGCAACGGTAAGTGCTCAACTTTCTCAAAGAGGTCGACAGTTTTTGACTACATTTTCACCGGTGTTAAAAATGTATATATTTTATTTATTTTATTACAAGCAACAGTCTTTCAAAACTGTCGGTGAAAATGTTCCTTTGAGTTCAACAGTCAGTGGTAACTTTTACAGGCTGTTCATTAACCCTCTGACTCCCAGAAGTGATTAACATGTCACTTCTCCCAATAATATCCATGCATTATCCAGCAAACAGTTAATGAGAATACTCAAACTTATCTGGTATCTTGGTCAAACACCAAGTTATTATTACTAAAGTAAAGTAATTTTGATTTCCCCCAAATTTTCTCTTGCAAACCTACTGATTGTTTAGGAATGCCAAGCAACTCCAAAAATTATTGTGGTGTTTTAGGGGACAAATTTTCTAAGCATTTACTTAGATCCTATGAAATCGCTAGGTGAGAAATGTTTCAGAGTTGTTGAAAACCTTGCAATTTTATAGTATACATCTGCTCTGATAATTTGTGCTCTGTAGTAAAAAGCCAAAATAATTTTTGGAATTACTTAATTAATATTTCTAAACTAATATTTGATACTCTAAAGAATAATCTTTCAGTAGAAATTTTGTGAAAATATTTGACTACCTAGCATTTAAACACAGCCTTATCTTTTATTCCCAATGAATGATATTCTCCTGTTACTTTACCCTATTTCCAGCTACTACTAACATTAATTAGCGAAAACTTAAATTTTTTCCTTAGTGTTCATTCATGAATACAGGCCCTTGAAATTGGGGAATTTTTTATTACTGGATGCCATGCATATTTTCGAAACATTTCTTTTCTACGATCAGCAGTAATGTTGCAATTTGATTGGCCAATTTGCTGTTGTTGATAAGAGCATGAGCAACGCTGCTTGCATCAACTGGTCATGCAATGCCTTTATCACTGAAAGAATCATTTTGTTTGACATCATTATTGTGGTAAAAAAGGAATTGAAAGGGGTTTAGCATGGTCTTTATACAATGATGTTCATCATCACATTGCTCAAAAGTTTTTGCTGATTCACCTGGCTGGGCCGCATGAGTCTGTAGCAAATTTTGACCTCTGCAATAATGAATATCATTGTCGATAAGAGTACAGATCATGCTAAACCACTTTCAATTTGTGAATTGGGCATGGCTGTGTACATTGGGCATACATGTAACATTGTCTCCTTTTTTTGACAGAAGGATGTGTCAAAAATCAGAAATATTGGTATATCTGCCCATATTGACTCTGGAAAAACCACACTCACAGAGAGACTTTTGTTTTATACTGGAAGAATCAGTCAAATGCATGAGGTGAGAACCATAGACTTTGATTTGCCTTTAGAAATGCTTTCAACATTACCAATCCTACTTTGCAGGATGCATCTCACATGTGGACCTTGTAACAATTGAGCTCACAGCAAAGTCTCTGTGACTCAGTAGTAGATCATCAAAGTGGAAAATCTGAAGGTCTGAGATTCTATTCCTCACAAGGATTCTAAATTTTTTTTTAGTGCCATTCTCATGACAAGAGAAAAAAAATATTTCACTAATTGACTTCGATGTTTGTTTTAACAGTTCAAAGTTTAATTTCCATTGGTTTTGCATGATTATACAAATAATGATTTTTGCCCTGTGGTTTCCTGTTGAAATCTTTACTGCAATTTTTTTTCCTTAGTGTGTTATGGATCAAAATTTACTTGAAGTTAAAGTGATATCAAACTTCTGTAGGTTGATGGGAATTCTGACAAGACCAAAAAATTTTTTTCATTTTTCACTAATGGATTTTGATACATATTGAAACAGTTCAAAGCCAATTTCCCATGGGTTTTGAGTGATTATACAAATAGTGATTTTTGCCCTGTCTCAACATGTGTTGTGGATTGAAATTTACTAAAAGTTCAAGAGGTGTCAAACTTCCATAGGTTGAAGAGAGTTCTGATAATATCTCTGAAACAAAGACTTTGTTAATATCAAGTTGTTGTACAGTTTAAACCACAGCTTCTGCAATCAATTATTTCTAAATAGCAAAGGTTTGACAACTTGCAGTAATAGTATTTGATTGTGTTGTCTGATTGTCTGGGTTAGAGTAGGCCTGGAAAGGACTGCTGTCGGCAGTAAAGACTGATGATTTGACAACCTTGGTGGAAGTCACCACTTGTGTCAAATGATTATGACTTTATGACTTCCACTTGTTATGGATAGTGACAGTAGAAATAAGTATCTTGACATTTTCTGGTAAGAATGTTTTGTCATGCTGAGAAGCATTCCATGGAACATAACAGAACATTTCATTAGGTCATGCAGTCATGATGTAATACCAGTCCACTGAGATAGTCGTGTTGTAAGTTTCCGGAATGTTCTAGAATACTTTGTAAATGTCTATAAGGACCCAATTGTGTAGTAATAGTTGTTGTTGTCAGAAGTGAATGACTGCTTGGAAAGCTATACAGAGAGAGAGTGCTACTGTGAAGATTGTTTAATTCAAGGAACTTTGGAGAAAACTGTGAGTTTGTGTCAGTGGTGAGGCAAGACATAGATTGTTGTGGGCTTAAGTAAGTTTATTGAGGATAATTACTGTATTTCCTGTAGGATTTGCTCCGCATTAAAAATATCAAAAGTTGTTTAATAAAGTAGTGAAGTCTGTAGGAGTATAGCATTCTTTCTGTTTGTTAGATTATACTGAAACACACTGATATTGTTAAAACTTGAGTCACTTCTACCAACAACAGTCCTTCAGGGAATTACTCTCACCAGGATGATCAGACTTCTCATGACAAACAAAATTAATGTGAAGATACAAGATACATAATCTCACTGTAGCTCAGGAGCATTAATACAGCATATCTCAGGTTTTTTTTTCTACCTTATTGAGAAACAAATTCTTTGCTCAAGAAAGATGTGTTGATATATCCATGCGCTAGATTTGGTTGTTTGGTATTCATCCTTATTTTCTAACCAGGTGCGAGGTAAGGACAATGTAGGAGCCACTATGGATTCCATGGATCTGGAACGACAGCGAGGAATAACCATACAGGTTGGTATTAAGTAACAGTACTATGATTTATTTAATAAACTACAGTTCAAATGTATGACATTGATATATTCATAGTCATTTTTTATCACTTTATGGGTTTATTACAAACCAAAAAAATGACCAGCTGCCAGTTGGCTTGTTAGTTCAGTTGGTAGAGCAGTGCACTTGTATTGCAGAGGTCATGGGTTCAAATATACAGGCGTGAATTTTTTTCAGGCATTGTTTTCGCTGCTGCTTAAATAGTGCTCATGATTGTAACTTCAAATTTAAGATATTCATATACACCGTATGTAACAAACTACAGTTGAATTGGAGCCTGACTAGTGGCTAGAGAGATCCGTCTTAAATCTTTTTACAACTCCCACCAATTCAAGGTCATTTGATTTGCTATAGGAATATATAATTTGGAGATTGTATACATGGTTACCATAACAACATTGCTACATTTTTTGCTGTATGTTCACAGGGCATAGTGAAGATGGTATGTGGTAAATACAACAGAAATTATGGTGTTTCAATATTATCTGCATGATGAAATAAAATTCTTTATATATTTCAAGAAGATTCAACTGTTTGTATGTATGTCTTTTTAGTCTGCAGCAACATATGTCAACTGGAAAGATACAAACATCAATATTACTGACACACCAGGTGAGGCTATCAACCATTTACTTGTACACCCTAGCACAAGGCTGTTAGACTGTAAGTAGTTTTTTGAGCACTGTCAGTATCGTAAGTGATGTAAACAATGTTAGTATTATAGTATTTAGATTTTGGATGGAAAAAGTACCTTTCCTTCTTCAAGCTTTTTCACAGATGAGTGATCAGGTTTTCTAAAATTGTTTAGTGTGCAATTGTAGTTTGAACATTTATGGCACTTATTTTCAATTTAAATCTGTGTTGAAAAAATGACAACAGTCCAAGCACTGTGCTATCATTGAAAAAAGTTTTGGATAATGAATTATCAATACAAAGTTATACTGTCAATAAATGTCTTCGGAGACAAGGTCATATTTGGCCAAAATTTGAAAAACAAGTGAAGCCTTTGGGTTTTCCTTTTTTTAAAGAGGCACCTTCATCTTGTCCTAAATTTCAAATAAATGCACCGGGTGCTGGCAATGTGTGATATTTAAAAGTTTACCTTCAATTCTCAGAATGGCTGCACTTTAGGTTCTTGATGTCTAGCATTTGAACCTTATTTGGACCATCCTGTAAACAATAAGAATTTATTAAATTAGCTACCATATGCATCTGGGAGGCAAAAAGTTTGTTGTCACTTGAAAGTCCAAAAGTGATGTATATTTTTCCTTCTTTTTTTCAGAATGGGAGCAAATCCAACCAGAGTTTTAAGTCAAATTAGGTAAAAATGGTTGGAGTGTTTGTTGTTTTCATTTTTGTTGTTGTTTACATTAAAGAGGAATGTGTACCCCTGAAAAATTAAAAAAAATAATTCCTGAGAATGGTTGAAATGATAAGGTCTACAGAATGGATGATAGATGGCAAAGAATGTGGAAAATTTAGTTGTCATAAAAAAGTTAAAATCCAGTTGTAAAGAAGGAACAAGGTAAAAATTTATGGGGATAAAAAATGAGAAACTGAAAAAAATGTTTGCAAAAAATGACCTGAACAGTGTAGCATTAAACATGTCAACTGTGAGGCTGCAAGTGAATTCCTATGGCTCTGTCAAAACCTTGGATTGACTTTAACATTTGCAAGAATTGACAAGACCTATGGAAAAGATCATCCACTATATTTGAGAAGATACCTGTTGCATTTTTATCTGTTTTTTTTTTAATTATTAAATTTGTATGCTCATATTTGTTGTTTCACTAGAACTTGAAAATTACTCGAGGATGTGGAAAAATTGCTTGTTTTTATGGCTGATATTACACAATGAATATTAAAGATAATTCTTATATAAAATAGTGAAAAAATGTATTTTTCCCCAGAGCAAAGTTACAAGACACTGCAGCCTTCACCCAGTTGCCAATTGGTTTGGAATCTGAGTAAAAGTAGTCATTGACCTTGAGTGATGGAAGGCTTATTACTTTGAGGGAAATCATGGGTAAGATTATTCATTCATGTGACTTTTATTTTATCTTCATTAAGCTGTTAACCAATGACAAGGCTAGAAATTCAATAACCCTGATCCAGCTATTCTTAAGATGCCATAACATGAGCTAAAAATCTCCCAAAAAATTCATCTGAAATATGATAATTGGCTCTTTCATTGTTAAACAACTATTGCTGATTTAAATTAACTAACAGGTCCAAAGTAGTAGAACGTGTCATATTTGCCTTTGTCCTTTCATTTCAAAGGAAAATATCACAGGCAGCCAATAGGAACTCAACGTGAAATGAAGTAAAATTAAGTGTTGGAAAATGCCATTCATCAACTCCTGATTATTTCAAGTTTTGAACTTGATTGGATCAGAGCTCGAGATGAAGGGAAAATTTTCTAGGCCAATCTCCCAACAAATATCAATACAACATCAAGCAAACAAGTGATGAGAATGAAGAAAAATTATCAATTAGGGGATTGTTAGTTGATACCAAGTTCTTAAGTCTTAAGAATTGTCCATCATAAGAACTGCATGGCAGACAGTAACAAGAATTACTAATTAGATTTTGGCAGTCAGAGTGTTAAAGTGCCTAACCCTTTAACTCCCAGATCAAATTTGTAATTCTTCTTACTGTCAACTATGCAATTCTTATAATGTTATTTCAGAAAATTTAGTATTAGATCAACTAATTATCCCCAAATTTATATTTTTCTTTATTCTCATCACTTGTCTGGTTGATATTGTATTGCAATTGTAAGGAGAAATTCTGTCTTGGTCACTCATGGGAGATGAAGGGTTAAGTGGAAAATTCTCCAATGATTTAAGTGGGTTCTCACAGTCCCATCTGTCAATTCCATCAGGTACTAGTGAGAGACTCTGGTGGTTCCATATGATTTTGTCAGTTTTCGAACACAATTTTTTTGATAGATAGTACATTTAAGAGAGGATCTCAGCATCCATCAAACAAATTTGAAATATTGTGGCAAGTCGCCCAAAGTTCTTTTTCTCTCCTAATTTCATATTTTATATCCCAATATGTCCTGATAATTGTGGCGTAGTTTTTTTGTAAAAATATATTTCAGTTTTCGAGAAATGAATTTTTTCGTTCGACCGCTCAAATATGCAAATTTTCACCGTGACTATTACCCAAGTTGTGTGACCTCATGTAACGAATATAATTTACCTCCGGTAATTCTGTCAACATAATCCTTTGTTTTACCACCCAAACTTAATCCCCTGTCATAATTGAAGCTGGTAAAGAAATATTTATTTTTCGGTGAATATTTTTGTCCGCCATACTTTTCCTATGTCGAAAGTAGCATCAAACAAAGACAGTTTTAACAATGACCGATACGACAAACTCTATTATGCTTCTATGCAGAATTGAAAATTGCCAGGCTTAATCCTTTGAAAAAGAGAAAAGAGCATTGTTTCACTGATATCCTTTCCCCGTTTTGTTTTGGAGATACGTAATCCTAGAAAATTGCGTTGCATTTAAATAAGCGAAAGAGAGAGAAATATTTGAGTCGCGGATAAATTTCCCCACGCGGCCGCCTTCTTTCCCAAACTAGGGTGTTTCCGAAATTGGTTCTTTAAGGGCAGTAGGGGAAATAATCTATCGGAATAGAAAAACCATTTTCGATTCTTTTAGTGAAATGTTTTCTAGAGTTTGCAATGTCACGCCAATTCGGTGAGAATTGAATGTAGCGATATTTATTTAACGGCAAAATATAGTCGTTTTTTACCCGCAACTGATTACAGGCAACAACAAGAACGGCTTTTCTTCATTTCTTTCAACAAATAGGTGCTACACTGTTTCATTCAAAACATTTAAAATATGACCAAAAAAAATCTTACAACAGCGCGTGACTGTCGACGCATTTCATCGTTGCGATTGTTTTGATATGAAGTATTAAGATCAGAGCTGAAGATCTTTATTTTCTTAAAAGCTGTGTGTGTTAATATCGGCTTTTCCTCGAAAGAGTTGAAGAGTGTGGAGTAAGAATGTAAGTAGTTTAACTCCTATCCTCGTGTTCATATCATTTATTAAGTACATTTATTTTTAATCCTTTAGCGGCAAGTGCGTACAGTACAGCTTTACAGACTTCCATTATAGGCCAAACGGAGTTCCAACCCAAGCTGCTCGCTTCTCAAACGATTTCCAACGCGAAAACAGACGAAATATTCACTTATATTCTCATACAACATGGAAGAAAAGCCCTGATGAGGGATGACGAGACATATTATTCAAGGAGTAAAGAGCTTGAGTACTACAAAAAAGTCAGCGGTACTCCAGTCAAGCGACGCAGAGAAATATTTCTAGGCATGATTGATGATCAGGAGAATGCTAAGTCTATTCTTGTCATTAGAAAAGCAGGGATTGGGAAATACTTGTTTTGCCAAAAGGTGATTCGCGATTGGGCCAACAACGAATTACTACAAGTGCGAGAAAACAGTGAAATCCCAGATTTTAAATTTGTGTATCTGCTCTCTTTCCGTCGATTGAATTTTCTTGAAAATAACTGTGTGGCTTTAAGAGAAATCTCAAACTTTTCCTCGGTACTGGATGACAAATGTAACATTGATTACTCAACATTTGACAACTTTAGTCTTGTTCAACCAATGAGATTATTTGAACCATTCCAACAAGGATTCTGATGGGCTCATTGCAGCGTGCTTTATTAGAGTATAGAGTATGTTGACGACACTGTTGTTCGCTTTGGAAATAAAGTTGATGTTGAAAATTGAAAGTAAGGCGTGGGGAATTTGACGGATTCTTTTTTATAAAATAACTGGAGAAGCCTTGACTGTGTTCTGTTCTGTTGCAAAGCACTTAAGAAGTGGGGAGAAACACTCCATTAAGTCTCGTCTTTCTCCCTACAATTCTTTCGTGCTTTAGCCGCTTCCTCGGTGCTTTACAACAGAACAGATCACAGTCGAGGCTTCTCTATTTGTTCATTAATGGTACGCATCTTTGAAGTTTCACTTAAATATTTTGCACTTGACATTAACGTTTTATGGTCAAGAAAAAAGTACTACGCTGTCCCAATAGTTAAACAGCTGGTTACCTTCAAAATTTCAGGATGAGTAGCAAATTCTGCAGCGTTAAAGTTTCTACGCTTTACTAGGACCTTTAGTTATAAAAGCATACCTCACAAGTCTCTTCCAGTAGCCACAATATTGGTTCCTTCCCGTCGCTACCGCACCGAAGAATAATTTTAAATGTGCTCAGCGCTTCAGCATGTGGTTAAAGTTTTCTGATTTAACCGAGAGTTGTCTCAGTAAATTGTTAACATTAATTGTAAATGTGCTCAGTACTTCAGTATGCGGTTGAAGTTTTCTGATTTAACCGATAGTTGTCTCAGTAAACTTTTCACGTGTAACTCGAACACTCGGAGCAAAAATTTGAGTTCAGGATAAATATTTTAACAAAAAATGTCCTCGATCAATTTCCTTGTTTGGTACCAGTTGAGCAAAATAGCTAAATAAACGAAGTTAATAAGCTCCAAATATTCCCCAGCTGGGAAATATTCAATGATCTATCGGAATGAAGATTTCTATTTCAAACCTAACGTCCACTATTTTAGAGAGACCAAAAGTCTTTGTTTAAAATTCAATTCAGGATAAGAGCGCGTTTAGTAGATAGAAAACCCGGGTTCTGGCCCATTCTCAAACAATTCAGAAGTCTCTTGAAGTTTTTTACATTCTCCATTATCTCTCTTTCTCAGCTAACTCCTGTGAAGTGAGATATTGGAATAAGCTACGACATATGGGAGGAGGTGAGTAATGTAAAAAATATTTAAGAGACTTCATGGATTTTTCGAAAAAAGGTAAGAACCCTTCTTTTCTATCTTCTCGTTATGCGGTTGTTACAGAAGAATGGAAATGTTTGTTTGTTGATAAAGTCGTTCTAAAGAACACTGAACATCCCACGCATGAAATGGTAGCTGATCGTAAACAATTTAGTTTCCCTCGCTTTACAAATATTTGAAGGGTAATAAACACCGATAGCCTCTATTTGGCAAAAAATATGCTCTTAAATTTATCCTTGAACATTATTTGTTCCTCGAAGTTCATAGTTTTCCTCGAGTTTCGTTCTCTGAAAACTTCGCATTTTGGAACAGATAATGTCTACGGACAAATTCGCACCAAACGGGGGCTAGTGTTCATACAGTTATCTGTATTATGTATTACAATAATTTCTTCAGCAAATAAGTGTTCTTTACGGGTTCTCGTATTTGATGTAATTTTAGTGGCGGAGCTATAAATGACAACAAGGGAATTTTCTAGTTTTTTCCTTTTTACAGGCCGCATTCCGCCTGATCAACTCGCGATCTCGTCGTTTGGTATTTAACGCCCCCAATTTTTTTTTATTGTAAACCCCTTCGGTGGGGTTCACTGTCTCTCGCATTCTACAAATCTCTCCTGAAAAGATTCTACACGATTGATTATTTATCACTCAAAACAGGCAGTAAGGAATATTACTAATGAGATCTTGGCAGTGTAAGGCCTAGGGATTGCAGTGTTTTGGAACTTTGTCGTAACATTTGCATTTTACAACAGCCATTTCATTGTTGTGCTGGACTCAGCCATCCGGATGAGTGCTTTTGATTCTTTGGTAAAAGGTGATTGACGTATGATTGTCTTCGATCGCGTGATCTGACAGACGACTCCTTAATTCTCGAAGCATCGCAGCATTGCAAAGCAATACTGGATCTACGGACGTGAACTAAATGCAGCGTCTTTAAAATTCGTAAAGAGCAATTCATTTGTTGATATGTAGAAAATGAGTTTTGGGACCAGAAGCACGGGTACGAGACAGACGATTTGAAGAACAACCTTCAACTTGAGGTATTTGGTGGAGAATCGAAACCAAGAGGTTTTATTTGATTGAGTTGAGCTCACATCAGTTTTTTCCGACAGCTGTTGGTCGAATCGACTGCAAGCGTTGAGTGACACATCGTGTCTATTTCAGGAGAGAGGCCCAAAGCCAAAGGTGAGAATAATGCTTTTAACAAACCATCATAAAATTCTTATGTGGGGACATTTACGAATTGCACATAAAGAAACGCACGGCGTCAATAATCCTTGTGACAGCTTCTCGTGTAGTTCTTTAAACTCAGCAGGCCTATTGATATGTGTAAGCTAAATGTTACCGTGGGTAAAATCTGAATTTCGAAAGTAGTTTTTTTTGTCTGACTTATAACGCAAACATGCTTGAGTCGAAGTCTTTGTCACTCTTCGGTTACTTCGTTGTTTACTGCTTAATTTAACAGAGCGATTTTGGTACCTAGGCCTTACATTGAAACCGTTGCTAGCGAAGGGTAGCTATGGACACTTCAGCTTAAAGTGTGAGCAATACAAGACGCGAATTAGGCATCGTGTTTGTCATAAACTCTATCACTTGCGAGTGGTAGACCTTGCATCCTTAGAATGAAATGTTACCATCCACGTCCCTTGTACAGAGTCTCGAGACGTTTTTTTTGTTACTTTTTGATCTTCAAACGCACATATATCCAACAAAATTCAAACATTGCACTCAAGTATAGGTTAAAATATGGAGCAAGTAGAACGAGGAATATTTCACTGCGATTTAGTTCGCGTAAACAGACTAACGGCCCAACCTCAACCCACAACAAGATGGTGGTTGACAGTTTGAGTTTCCCTGTACATGTTAACTTGTCATTTTTTTTAATCTAGAAATCCATTCCTTCCGCGAAGATACAACAGTGAACACTGAATAACGACGGTCATTGCGAAGGTAAGCTTATAATCCCGAGTCTTTAAATAAGAGAAACATTTACGCCTACATGCAGTAGATCACATAAAATTAGTACGTCACATAAAAGAACAAATTGAGTCTCTCAACAAGCATTGAAGTGATTACTTTCATTGGTTAGGGTAGGATAGGGAAGGATAGCTTAAGGACGCTTCAGCTTAAAGTGTAAATAAAATACGACACACATTTGGTATCGTTTTTGTCATAAGTTCCATCACTTGCAAGTGGCAAACCTTGCACCCTTAAAATGAAATGTTATTATCTGCGACCTTTGTTAAGAGTCTTGAAACATGTTTCGTTACTTTTTGATCTTCAAACGCGTCCACATCCTACAGAATTCAAACATTGCATTTAAGTATAAGTTAAAAATATGGAACAAGTAGAACGAGGAACATTCCACTTAGATTTAGTTCGCGTGAACAGACCAACGGCCCAACCTTAACCAACAACAAGATGGCGGTTGACAGTTTGAGGTTCCCTGTACATGTTAACTTATCGTTTATTTTATCTAGAAAACTATTCCTTCCGCGAAGATGCAACAGTGAACACTGAGTAACGAAGGTCATTGCAAAGGTAAGCTCATAATCCTCTGAGTCTTTAAATAAGGAAACATTTACGCCTACATGCAGTAGATCACATAAAATTAGTACGTCACATAAAAGAACAAATTGAGTCTCTCAACAAGCATTGAAGTGATTACTTTCGTTCTTTCGTTCTATCTCCCTGTTTTGGGGCTGAACAGTGCACGCCTGACTCTTTCCGAGAATCGACAGATCCTTACGAACTGTATATTGACTCACATTTATCGCTTAAAACAGACAGAAAGGAATATTACTGATGAGATCTTGGCGGTGAAAGACCGTGGGATTGCAGTATTTTGGAACTTTGTCGTAACATTTGCATTTCACAACAGCCATTTCATTGTTGTGTTGCACTCAGTCATCCGGATGAGTGCTTTTGATTCTTTAGTATAATATGATTGACGTAAGATTGTCTGTATACATGATCGCTTGATCTGACAGACGACGCCCCAATTCTCGAAGAATCGCTTCATTGCAAAGCAACAATGGATCGACGGACGCGAACTAAATGTAGCGTCTTTAAAATTCGTAAAGAGCAATTTACTTGTTGACATATAGAAAATGAGTTTTGGGGCCAGAGGTACGGGTACGAGACAGACGATTTGAAGAACAACCTTCAACTTGAGGTATTTGATGGAGAATCGAAACCGAGGGGTTTCATTTGGGTTAAAATGTAATTGAACTCATATCAGTTTTTCCCGACAGCTGTTGGTCGAATTGCCTTCAAGCGTTGAGGGACACATCGTGTCTATATCAGGAGAGGGGCTCAAAGCTTAAGGTAAGAAGAACGCTTTTAACAAACCATCGTAGCATAATTATGTGGGGACATTTGCGAATCGCACATAAAGAAACTCACACCGTCAATAATGCTTCTCACAGCTTCCGATGCAGTTCTTTTAACTCAGCAAGCTTATTGGCATGTGTAAGCTAAATATTACTGTGGGTAAATCTGAATTTCGAAAGTAGTTTTTTTTGCCTGACGTATAACGCAAACATGCTAGAGTCAAAGTCCATATCGCGTACATATTCCACAGAATTCAATCATTACACTCAAGCATAGATAAAAATATGTAACAAGTAGAACGATGAATATTTCACTGAAATCAAGTTCGTGAGAACAGACGAACGGCTCACTAACCTCAACCAACAACAAGATGGCGCTGAAAGTTTGATCATGAGATTGTCTGTACATGTTAACTTGCTATCTTTTTTAATTTAGAAATCCGCTCCTTCTTCGAGGATACAATAATAAACACTGAGTAACGAAGATAAGGTCATTGCGAACTGAAGGTAAGTTTAATCTACTGAGTTTGTAAATAAGGGAACGTTCACGCATTCATGCGG